TAATTTATTAGAGAAAATGTTAAATAATATATTATGCAAAAATTCATCGAAGAAATGAGGCTAATACTAATAAATTTTGTTTACTTGTGAACATATCCTTATTGCCTTCTATTTTTGGAAGGTTTTATCTTTCGGGGGAGTGCTATCTTTCCAGACTTTACGGTACTAGATAGTAAATAATTATTGATATTATTATGATGATGTTGCAAAATCAGACTCGTTTTCATAGCTTCTTCTTCGACTGTTCTTAACCCATCCAACGCTTTTTTAATAATTTGACCAAATATTAATTCATTCCATCCAAATCCCAGAGAAATATTATACATTTGTATGTGTTGTAAGTATTGTTCCAAAGTAGTGATGTTAGCCGTTTAAAAATCCTTAGCCGGCTAAGCCGTTTACTACCTAAATTGGTAATTTTATTTCCATAACAAGAAAGAAACGCGGAAACCTATTACCAAATTTAGAAATTAAGTATGCAGATTATTAGCCGGCTAACATCACTATTCCAAAGAACCAGATTTTATCATTGACTTTGACATTTAAGATATAATAGCTTAATAATTTATAATTTATTGATTTAACTAATATAAAAAAAGATTTGAAAACTTTTTTACGTATATAAACATAATAAATTAATATTGGATATTTTAAAATACAAATTTGAAATAAAAATTACTAAAAATAATAAAAAAAAAGGCCATCGTTGTTATTCAATATTGCCATCATACATTGTTGGTTATTAATGTTATTGAGTTGATTTACGATATTTTGAAGTAGGAATATGATGGAAATTAGTTGATTGACGATAGAATTTTGGTGATGATGATAATTATTTTGATGAATAAAATTGTTGTAATCAAAAGAATTGGGATTACGGTCAATCAGAGCATTAATATTATTGATAATTCCTGTTGGGACAAGAAGGTTTCGGTCAGCGAGACCATTGTTACTGACGATACCCGTTGGAATCAAAGGGTTTCGATCGCCGTGATGAATGAGATTATTGTTTTGGTGAATGTAATTATTAGGATTTGGGTATTGATTAGTAATATTTGTTTGCCCATTAAAATGAGGAATGAGATTTTGATTAATAGGATTTTGGTTGTTGGAGTTGTTAACCCAGTCATCGCAATTATTATTGTTATCAATATTATTATTGTCAATATTATTATTAATATTATTATCAGGATAACTTTGATGACTTCGATTATACATTCTTTTCTCAAATATTTATTTTAATATTTTTTGAATTTAAAAATTTTTTTAAGCTAGTCTGAGAATGTCTCCATTTTATAATAAAAAATTATATGTGACATATGTCTGATTGGTTGCTATATAAATTTTTTATCACGTAAATTATTACATATTAATATAATACGTATTATAAAATTTAAGTTGGAAATATTAATGGATCAAACATGTATGCGTGTATTGGTGATGTGATTTGGAAATCAAAACAAATAGTTTTTCATTGCTTCTTCTAATGTTGACATTTATGAAAAGAACTCGCTGAAAAAGGAAAGATTAAATGAACGTGAAAAGGGTTATACATCTAATGGAATTTTTAATTAGATTCGTTATTTTAATAAATTTAGCCTTAGTCCAATCTCGGAAAAAAGTCTTGGAAGGATGTTTTACTGTGAGTTGTCATTTATCGTTTACAACAAAGAAAATACTACAATAGTATCACCGTCACTATAATAAATAATGATTATAAATCTGATTTGTTGGTTTTCTACTAGTGAAGTATCGATTAGTATAATAGTGACGATAATTAATTATAGATATTAAAATAAATTATAAACTATTTCTCGTTTATTACGCGGCGGCAACTGCAGCAACTATCTATCTGTAGTCCACTGTGGATGACGGGCATTTACTTATTGGTGGAATTTGATGATAAATATTCATTAATAGTAGAACAAGTTAAAATAAATCCGATGTTTATTTATCTCAAAAGACTGAGCTGTTTTCCGCGAATGCGCGGTTAGTTTATAAAATTTTTTCAAATATAAACAAAAATATATATCACAATTATGTATGGATCTTATATAAGTTTTATCACTCACAATTTATTTTTTTTTTATTTATGGATATTTATATAAAAACGTCGAATCTATTGTGTCACACCCAATTTATTCCTCTTTCGAATTAAATATTAATGATCGCCATGTATCCTTCCCGAAATTACTAATTATGGAAAAATGAGCAACTATACGAAACAAACGAGTAATAAATAGCATATAGTAATCGAATGATGTTACTATTTTATTTATGAATCTTTATATAAAAACGTCGAATATATTCTCAAATTTGCAGAAGAAAAATCTTTTTTATTTTTTTATTTCAATAAGTTTATTTCTCAAAGAAAATTTTTTTTTTAAAAAAACAAACTGTTAATTGCGCCCATCATCAATTCACACGCTCATTAAAGAAAGATGCCAGCAATCCGCCACGCAAACAATTCCGCATCCGAAATAACGATAATAATAATAATAATAACAATGACAATGAAAATGTCAATGGTCTTTTTAAAATCTTTATCCTCCTCGTCATCCGCTTCACCTTCATTTTTTTCAAACTTTTATTCTAGGAGAGTTGTTGAAATAATAGCACTATCACAAATATCGAAAATGCTATTACTAACATCAGCACCAGTAGCACTATTATTAGTAATGCTAGTTATTATCGGAGAACAAAAAGTGTGACGAATTTTATCAATATAATCAAATCTCTACGCGGCGACGAATCTTAAATCCATCCCTGTTATACGAAATAATAAATCTCACGGTCCATGATTTTTGTGAGTTTTTTAAAGAGAAGTCGTTATTGAAAACAATGATTATACATTCATTAGGGTAAAAAAGTGAGTACATGTGTATAATTTATATAATTAAATTTTTCTATAATGACAATGAAATAACAAAGATGTTTAAAAATGTTGATTCACTGAAGAAATGTAAATCTTATGGAAGGATTCCAATAATGTTATAACGTCTGACAAAATTAATCATCTTCATTAATTAAGAAGTGGCGATCACACACGGAATCTTATTCTATTTTTCTAAAAATAGATATAATAAAATCAATTAATATTTCCAAGCTTTAATAAAGCCATAAAGCGTGATTTATTACCGAATGAATTTTTATTGGTAAATACTCAAAGAAAAATTCTAGTATGGAATAATTGGCCAAATGAAGGCCAAAAAATAGGTTTTACTTCTTATATAACTTCACTAAAAGACAACAATAATAATTTTACTGATACATATTGTTGACATGTTTTCGTAAAAAATTTACTATATATTATGAGTTGAATTACGTTCTTTTTGTGGCATTGCGAACCTTAAGGTTAAATCATATTACCAACATGAATTCTTGTTACTGACCTGCCCATCTATATAGTTTGGGGATAGACTCCGTTAATATTGACATTGACATTGACATTTAATTTAATTAATTTAACAACAACAACAACAACAACTACTACAACAACAATTTTTCACATACAAGGGAAAGAACTTGATGTCAAAATGTCATTTATATTCTTGGATCAAAACTACTAATTAATTAATCAATCAATCAACCACAATAGAAGTACAAACTACAATTAGTGAAATTTTGGGGTTTCAAAGATTTTTAATCTTTACACGGAATATTCTCAAACTTTGTTGATGTAATTATTTTCTTTGCAAATTTATCAGTACAAATGTGACTTTTCAAGAAATAAACATATAGCTAGCCTAATTCAAGGACTATTCCCATGTATAATTTGTTACGAAAGAAATATTTAACTTAGAAACTGTAGTTGATAAAAGTTTGAGTTAAAAGTCCTTGCTAATAAAGTATGATTAATCAAATCAAATGTTTTTAAGCTATATGGAAAGAAAAGGCAATGACACGTCGGCTCGAACGATCTAATTTATTAGATACGGGGCATTTGTTTGTCTAGTTAGATAAGATTGTTTGTTTCGAGAGGCATTCATTTTACCGACAACTCGGAAGTTACATTTAACCTCCACATAATCAAACAGCTAATAAATGCTAAAATGGAGTGCTGTGTGTTGTTGGTAAAATGAACTGTCAGTAAAATGATTGTCGGTACTGTAAGTTTTAGTACACCACCATTCGATTACTGTTTGTCAAATAATATTTTTTTCATTACATAACCGAATATCTGAAAATAATACCAGAAGAATTGGTATTATTTGATATTAATAATCTAGACCTTGTATGGAAATATAGAGGATGTAATTAATTGATTTGCATTCTGTTGTGAAATTCAAATTAGCCAACCAGAATTCCTCTTTCGAATTAAATATTAATGATCGCCATGTATCCTTCCCGAAATTACTAATTATGGAAAAAATGAGCAATCATACGAAACAAACGAGTAATAAATAGCATATAGTAATCGAATGATGTTACTAAAAACTTACAGCATGTATAATGAACGCTTAATCCTCGGTGTCTGCAATCTGCGTTTATCTTTTCTCAGGGTCTACTTTATGATATAAATTTATAAAACAACAATTTAATTGATCAATTAATTAATTAATTTGATTAATTAATAGTTTTGATCCAAGAATATAAAAGGCATTTTTGACATCAAGTTCTTTCCCTTGTACGTGAAAAATTATTATTATTATTATTATTATTATTATTATTATTATTATTATTATTATTATTATTATTATTAATTAATTATTATATTACTGTATTACTATATTACTATAATGTTATCATTACTATCGCTATTACCATTACTATAAATGCTGTCATTGCTATCACTGTTATCATCACTATAACGCTATCGTTGTTGTTATCTGCGATGAATAATTAATTCATTAAAATCGATCGATATAATAAGAAGAGGAGGAGGATAAGAAGAAATAAATAAGAAGGAGGGACAAAAATATAAATATATTTATTATGTGATAAAAATCGATAATAAATTAATAATTAAAATAAATTAATAACTAATTGATAATAAATTGTCACTTTGATATTTACAAATATATATAGTTGTTTGCTACTATTCATTTACAATATTATCGTATATATATATATATATTGCTATGTTTAATACTCATCGTTCTATATTATCATTATATTTACACATTCGCTACTATTATTATTCACTAAAAATAATCAAAATCAACCCCTTGAGAATTTTCTAAGCTCACTACAATATCGGTATGCTCAACACCTGAAATAACTTCTCTGATCAAGTCATTTGGGATATATTCGAGTGAGCTATCTGCTGATCTGATAACGAATTGTTTGTTTGGTGGAGCGGATGCATTATTTATAGCAAACGTAACAACTGAAGAAAATGTGGTTGTATCTGATACAGCAACTTTTTGCTTATAAACTTTTTTCTTAGATCTGACTGTTACAGATTTTAATAATGGGGTCGTTACTTTGGGTGTTGATTGTAGTGGTGGTGATAATGACAATGATGATGATGAAAGAAGAATGTTAGGTGAATTGAGTGGCGGTGGTAAAGGTGGTGGTTGAGGTGGTGGTGGGGGTTGTAGTTGAAATTGATGTAAAGGTGTTGTTGTCGTAGTTGATGGCTTCGCTGGAAGAATAATATTTTGTTGTTGTAATTCTAGTGATGGTCTATGTTGAGGAGCTCTTAACGTTGAAGATGGAGGTGGAGATAGAGGAGGAGGGGGGGAAGCATAAATTGAAGCTTTGATTTAAATAAAGAAAGGTATTTTAAAAAATCAGTTAGCATAAAAGTGATTATTTAACATTAAGAGTAGTGATGTTAGCCAGCTAAGAATTTTTAAACGGCCAACATTATTAATAAAAAAATAATACTTACTATTACTATCAGCAATAAAATTTCTTGGAGGAGAGTGTGGAGAGTAATAATATGTGGTATCTACAATCAATTACACACGCGATTAATTAGTTTATAAATAACAGTATTATAAAATATTTACTTTGTACTTACCATTATTGTTATTATTACTACTAATATTATTAATATTTTTGAAAACATTGTTTTTTCGATAAAGAATTAATTGTATTTCACACTCATATTCGTCATCTTCTGCATCATTGTCATCGGGATTTTTATCATGGTTCACTGGTCCACCTTCTCCTTTTCCCTTGAGGTCTTCTTTATCGTCAGTTTCGTTATATATATTTTTAACAATCTTCCAAAATTTGTTGAAGCTGTCTTCATCGTTTAATTCTATAATTACATCGTTGCAATAATCATCATTATTATTACTCGCAACAGCTTTCTTTTTGATGGCAGTTGTCTTTTTCGACTCATCGACATTCTTATCGCCTATATCTTTATTATTGCTGTCATCATTTTCAATCATCATAATTATCCCGTTACCCTTGGCGTCGTCGTCAACAACCTTGGTTTTATTTTCAACTAGGGTTTTTTCTTTTTTATTCTTTCTAATCACTTTATAATAAAGTTTTTTGACATCAACATTACCCCAACTTGTTGGAAAAGCGGTTGACGAAACGACGTTGGAATGAAAATTTTTATAAGTTTGGTTTGATTTTGGAAAATTCATATCATCCAAATAAATCTCAATTTGTTGATCGAGTTGTATGGAATCGTTGGAGTTGGCATCTAAACATATCACAGTAAATTTTTTTGATGATTTCGTCTGCTCTATAAAAATAATAACGATAACAGTCAATTCGTCAGTAAACATATATAATTAGAATGATCATTATTATTGCTTTAGAAATGTGCGTTCAGGGATTATCATTAGTGTTGGTTTCCAAAACTAGAGAGTTTCGCGACTGTGCAAAAGTCAAAAGGTTTCGTCATAAGTCAAAACTAGTTTTGATTTTTGATTATTGACTTTTGATTAGTTTTGACATATAAATTTTAATTTTAGTTTTGACTTTCGTCTCTTAGAAATAGTTTTGACAACCAATACTAATTATCATGTAGTTATCCGCAAAAAATATACGCAATCGCCAAATCGATTTCTAAATAAGGATAACACACACGCACCAACCAACCAATAAAATTGGAAAAAATAATACTCGTGGCACAATTAGGGTTGTATTCACGGATACCGTAAGGAGGTCACATAGGGATTTTTTGCTGATTTATTAGTGTGTAATCCCCTTAACGGTATTCATGGTATCCGTGAATACAAACCCTAGGCACAATATGATTTGCTTACCATCTATTTCATCGTCAATGATCATCATAACCATTTCTTTATCATTACTGGATAGTGAATCATTATTGATATTATTGTGATGCTGTTGTAAAATCAAACTTGTCTTTATAACTTCCTCTTCGACCGTTCTTAGCTCATCCAACGCTTTTTTAATAATTGGACCAAAAATCAGCCCATTCCACCCAAATCCCAGGGAAATATTATACGCTTGTATGTGTTGTAAATATTGTTCCAAAGAACCGGATTTTATCATTGATTTTCGTTTAGCATTGATGTATTCTTCCAGCAGTTTTTCTGTAATTGGAAAGTACGGGATTTGTTCACCAGCGTGTAGAGATTTGATTATATTGATAAAATTCGTCACACCTACTCTTGAAGCTCGTGTGTTTAGGCTCGGTGACCTTTTCGTTCTACGATAATAACTAGCATTACTAATACTGCTACTGGTGCTGGTGGTAGTAATAGCATTTTCGAGATTCGTGGTAGTGCTATTATTATTAGCAACGCTTTTAGAATAAAAGTTTGAAAAAAATGAAGGTGAAGCCGGTGATGTAGAGGATAATGATTTTAAAGAAGAATCATTGACATTTTCATTGTCATTGTTATTATTATTATTATTATTATTATTATCGTTATCTTCTGATGCGGAGTTGTTGGCGTGTCGGATTGGGGGCATTTTTCTTTAATGAGCGTGTGAATTGATGATGGGTGCAATTAACAGTTTGTTTTTTTAAAAAAAAATTTTCTTTGTGAAATAAACTTATTGAAAATAAAAAAATAAAAATGATTTTTCCTTCTGCAAATTTGAGAATATATTCGACGTTTTTATATATAAAGATTCATAAATAAAATAGCATAAATTAGTTGACACAATAGATTCGACGTTTTTATATAAATATCCATAAAAAAAAAAAAAATAAATTGTGAGTGATAAAACTTATATAAGATCCATACATAATTGTGATATATATTTTGAAAAAATTTTACAAACTAACCGCACATTCGCGGAAAACAGTTCGGTCTTTTGAGATAAATAAACATCGGATGTATTTTAACTTGTTTACTATTAATGAATATTTATCATTAAATTCCACCAATAAGTAAATGCCTGTCATCCACCGTGGACTACAGACAGATAGTGCCGCAGTTGCTGCCGCGTAATAAACGAGAAATAGTTTATAATTTATTTTAATATCTATAATTAATTATCGTCATTATTATACTAATCGATACTTTTTTTTATTACAATTATTGTTTTATTATTACGATAATAAAGGTGATTATAATTTGCGATCCTTATTTACCAAAATAAGTTTATAAAATAAAGATAAAAATATATATTTTTTTTATTAAATTGACTTTTTTTGTTTTTATTCGAGTTCTTACTTTACAAGGTTTTTGTTTTATTTCTTGTTTGAATAAAATACCAAAGATTAAGAATATTAATATGGATATTTATATAATTGAAAGAATAACAAACGAGTAAAAAAAATCGCGTTTTATGATTGGTAGTACAAAGGAATTTTAAAAAAATTATAAAAAACAAGGTATATTGAAATTAAAAAAATAAAAATAAAAATAAAAAAATATTTGTATAATTACAAACCCTGCCTGAACTTGATATTTACGTATTCATTTAATTATTTTGCCCATATAAATATAAATAGAGAGAACTCGAATTCAATTTTTTTATTCCAAAAATTAATTTACTGAATTTAGGATGTTTAAAAAAAAAAAAACAGTGTTTGAATGAACTAACTTATATTTATTTTGCATTTAACATAAGCGATGGAATAAACTTAGAAAACACTAATAGAAAAATAATGACAAAATAATAATTAAATTAAATTTAGTAAAGCCTTGTTCGCTTATAATCAAGGACCCAAATAAATGTATATTAATATACAGTGATGAATAAGTAATTTATAATTGATATCGAATGCCCTATACAAGTTATCTATAAATAAACACAAGACATAGAATCTTCCATTATTTTAAATTAGTAAATTGCCTTGTTATAATATTGATAGGAATATTCGGCGTTATATATAAAATAAACAAATAATTTTTTAATCTTATAAACTATAAATTAGCCACACGTAACGGTCTATGTAACATATTGACAAATAAAATTCAATAATTTTTGTAATGTCGTCATATACACAGACAGACTCGATAAGTCAGCCGCATAATTTATACTATTGAGTACTTTAAACAATTGATTACTGCGGGCTGACTTATCGAGTCTGTCTGTGTAACATTGTATTAGATTTGGATATTTTTTTGCAAATAGTTACAATGAGTGCATAATAATGACCATTGTTATCATATGAATTTTTACTGAAAATAAAAATATCTCAATTCAGGTTAGACATTCTTTATAAGACATTCCCTTGTTTAAATTTTCTGTTCCGAAAATATTGCACGGAAAATTAAGCAAAATAAAATTTTTTAAATTTCCCAATTTTGAAAATTTTCAAAAACCGAAACATTTTCACGCTAATGCAGGGTTTATTTTTAAGCTCGATATATATATATATATATATATATACATAAATATATGCCTTGTTAAAAGAAAAATTTTATTTGTGCAATAACAATAACCTAATTTACATTCTAATTGATATTTAAATGATTTCTTTGTTTAGATTTTTATATTTTTTATCTTTAATTAATTAATCAATTACGGAAAAAAAAATCACGCGATTAAATAAGAAATGTTTTTTTCAATTTTTGGCGTTAGAGTTTTTTTTATCCTATCCTTTTTGCTTTATTCTACAGATTAATTCTATTTATCATTTACAACAGAGATGAAGAAAGTAAATACCACAGCATCGTCATCATCATAATCAACATATAATATTATCATTATGCAGTATTGTAAGTGTCGAATGTTCTGCAAATTGACACAATGCCTGGTTTTCTGTTAAACGTAACAATCGATTTGCTGTTATTAGTATTAATAATATCATAAATATTGCTTTGTAATTAGTTTTTTATTAGAAACGTTTGTTTCCTTTATTAGTACATATTACTTTTATTAACCGCACCGGTTTCTATTTGATTGGTTTAGTTCAGATTGATAGATAATTAAAAGTACAAATAAAAATAATAGATATTGCTGTTGTTGTGATCCATATTAGTTAATATATACGCACGCACGCGCATATATACGTAATAGCAGATATAAAGATAGATGTCCTTCTATAATAATAATAATAATAATAATAATAATAATAGTAATAATAGTAATAATAGTAATAATAGTAATAACAATAACATTATTATAATAATAAATGCCTGCAATTAAGGCAACAACAATAATAGCACACAATTTATTATTCCATTCGGTTCCAATAATCTTCCATTCCGAATTGTTCAATGACTGATAATAATGATAAGTGAAAGGAGATGGCCAAGGCAATAATAATTGGAACGATAAGGTTATGAAATGATTGAAGATAAAAGTCAAACTAAACTAAAAAATAAATCAAAAATGATATTTTTTAAGTTTAAGTCGAAATCAAGAATCAATTTTTTTTAAGTTTAAATCAAAAAAACAAAAAAAACTGATAGATTAATTAATAAATAAATTTATAATCTATTTATAATCGTGCGATCAATTAATTACTAATGCTTATTTGTGTATACTGATAATATCTTTTTTAATATTACTACCATTAACCGCAATCATTTTGGCGTTTTGATACTTATTCTTCCTAACTTTGTTCTTCTATTTGACTTATTCGTATTCACAAACAATAAAGTAATTAACTATTGTCTGCGTGCTGTTAAAACATCAAGATTCACCCACGCGTTGAGAATATCCATGTGAATAAAATGAAAATGAAAATGAAAAATGAGATTTGCCGCGCTTTGCTTTCGTTGTTGATAATGTCCGTGAACTTTAAATCTAAGATCTTTGTTGTAAAATACCAGATATTAATCAGGATGTTCACACGCATATACATTAACCATCTTTCTTTCTCTTTTTCTTTCTCTTAAGAATGAATGAATGAATGAGTAAATCAATCAATCAATCAATCTATCAATCAAGAAATGAACCAATCAACCATTAATCAATGAGTGAGAGATTACACGGAATTTAAACTTTATTTTATCGTTTAAAGTTGTTATTACGAGTATTAAATGAAAAATGGAAACTTTAATAAGTTTAATTAATAATAATTAGTAACTCAGTATAACCAACCTATCACACAATAATATCATTTTTTATCACGCTAGTCTAATAAATAATAAAGTGCAGGTATCCGAAAATAATAATAACCACAAAAATATAAAATATAACTAATATTTACCGTTGTAATATCGCAATTAACAAAATAGCTGGTCCGTTTATTATTTATTTATCCTAGTCTTTAATTTATTGGATATGGATATGTGGCGAATTTATCTATTACCTTGCAATCAGTCAATTAAAATAATTATAAGTGTGGAAAAGAAGAAACCGCCC